GGTCGTTTACCAATTACCCTCACGAACCCCAATCACTGGCCCAAGCTGGCATCTCAACTGAAAACGCAACTACACATTGTTATATTCAGGAAAAGACCGAAAAGAACATTTGCCAGAATCAGAATTCACCCAATGGGAAAGAACAACTACAAGAGGTGCTCCCATCGGTCACAAACGCCTAGCCATGGACCAATGTCCTCCCAGGGCCTTAGGAGGCAGTTTCATGTGCTCTTTGGCACACTCAAAGCTTGGCATGGCGGTGTAGCCGATGCCACGTTGGGAGATGGAAATACCAGCATAGGCATTGAACTGCTGGTCCTTCATGAAACCTTGGAGACTTCCATGTCCGACGTGGACCCTGGGGGTGTCTTGATGGCATCAAAAGAGGGCTCTTTTCAGCAAAAAGGAACTTCATGTATCAACACCTTTTGGAAGTTGGTTTCGGGATCCATTTCAATGCTGCCCCTCAAGGGTTGTAGCGGATGGGGCTATTCTCGTGCGCATGTGCCATTCAATCCTGCCTCAATCAATCTCAAAAACGTCTTTTTTTTGCCGGTCTACGTCAACTTCTTCGACATTCGGAGGAAAATAATGATGAGGCATGATGAGGCCCATGCACAGGAAGTGATGTTTGCGAACTTGGTTGGTTGAACCAAAGCCTCCTCTGGTAGGACTCCGTGCATGTCCTGCATAACCTGACTTATGATTTTTTTGATATTTTTTGTAAATTCTATAGCTGGCCTGGCCTGCTCGACAGTTCTATAGGGATTGAACTATACATCTCCGATTTGCCAGCTTGACATGAATCCAAATCTGTTGTTCTTTATATTTCATCGGCTCCCAATGGCCCAATGACGCCCAGGCTCAGGTGTGTCCAAGGGGCTCAAGGCACAGGTGGCATCACTTCCAGGACCTCCGCAGTGAAACAGCAAGGGCTCCACGGAAGCGGCCGATTCGCTGGTGGGCATCGTCATGATCACCAAAAGGTCCAAGTAGGGCGTGTCCTCCTCGACGTGGATTTGCACGTAGCTAGCAGCCTAGAATTTACCTCATTCAGCTACCATCCCACTGTGGACACCAAAGGGGGGGGCCCTCGCACTGGAATAGTTTCTGAGTGGTATTCTTTATCCAATGTGGCTAACCCCTCAAAAAAAACAACACAATAAGCCAAGCAAATACAGGACAGCGTGCAATGACCTGTAAATTAAATCCTAACCCCTACCTCCCCCCCTCAAAAACAACTTTTTAAGAGTGACATGTTTTTTCCTGTCCCCTAGCCCCCACCCCCCTCAAAAACAACTTCCACATGCAGTGACAAGAAGAGACGGTGAACTGATGCGGAACGCTGCGTGAGGCAACTGTGGCACGAAAACCTACTAAACAAGGGTCTCCTTATTGTTGCAAAACATGTGACCCTTTTTGCGGGGGCACTGCAGGCATTCATCGCAAGCCTACCCCTAGCAGTGTGGATTTTTGTCCATAGGTCATCCTTGCGCCAAGTTCATGTCATTGGACTTGGTCAGCCCTAGAAAATGGACAAAAATAGTTTCACCTTAGATTTTCTGGCTTTGTGGTGTGAGTCCAGTCTTTGGGGATGAGTCTGGATGCTGGGGTTGTATATGGAATAGTATGTCGCCAGGTTAGGTTGAAGTTGAAGAATTCACACTGTTGAGTTGAAGATGGGGCACCAAGGCTGACTGTTTTTGTTGGTAGTGGTCCTGACCAAAGGTTGGAAGACCCCGAGCAATGCTCACCGACCGCTGTCACCTGGGTGAAAGACACAATAAGAGCCAGAGCCACACCGTGAGTGTTGAAAAGAAAAGTGCTCTGAATTCTTGATTGCATGTTTGATAAATCATGTTATTTATCTAGAGGCCCGGACTTTCACAACACTTATTTCCAGCCAATCCCCAGGGCTCACGAAATTCAACATATTCGAACGATCGGACACGCGGTCGCCCGTGTTCTCCGCCGGTCCTCCTCCGGTCATCGAAAAAAGGGTCCGGTCGGAGTGGGAACTGATCTCAAGCCATGAAAAGGCAAACGATGCCGCACATCTTGGTTACGTATATCATGTCATAGATCCCAGGGCACAGCGGGTGATGATGATGATGATGATGATGATGATGATGATGATGATGATGATGATGATGGTTAGGTTGCCAACCTTTCACGTAACTGTGTGACCGTCTTTTCACCAATTGCCAATTGTTCCTGGTAGTGGAATACACCCTAGGTGCATCCGCTGAAACAGTTGGATGACGTGTTTGTTTCATGGTTTCGGGACCTTGGTGGGCCTTGGATGGGGCGGTTCACCAAACAAACCCCATGCTGTCCCCCATGCGGACGACAAACTAAGCATTCAAGAAATGGAAGATACACTGGACACTGAAAACCCGATCGTTGCACGTGTCCATATCTGTCTGTGGAAAGTGAACTGTTTGCACACCTGAAGCTGCGCGCTGATATCCTATGCTTGCACGTCGTGATTCTGGCAGGCAGTAGTAAAGATGGTTTAAGACCCATCTTTAGGAATCTGATCTGCTGGAAACATCATGGGCTAATTAGATGGCACTTTTTTCAAGACTTATGCAACTCAATGAAGGGGTCCAAAATCCGCAGCCCGCAACAGTCCTTTGCGATTAATTAGGTTCTGTAAATTATAATGTACCAGGACACCCTAAGCCCCTGAGATGCTAAGGGGTGTCCATTAACCACCCCATGTGGGTCCTGGTATAAATATATAGATAACTATTGATAATGTTTCGATATGTGTCGATTGTTCCTATCAGGATCCTGGTCTTCTCGATGTGGACTCAGCGGAACGGTCAGGTTGCCGGCATACACGGTATGGCTTCCAATCCTGGGTCTCACAGTGTCACAGCAACTTGCTCTATATAGATTCTGCAAAAAATCAAACATCTAGAAGCTGTGTTAAACGCACCAAAATCAAAAACAACAAAACATCCATCATCCAAAAGAAACAATCCTGAAACGTTGCAAGTGTCTGCTTGGAGTGTGTCCATCTCAAACCCTTCTTGGGATGCAATAGGTCACAAGCTTCTTCTTCCACGTGATCCAAGATGTCCAAGGTTTGCAGGAAGCTCTGCTCATCCTTCTCAGCACAGCCGGGTTCTTGTGCCCATGCCAGGTGCCAAACGAGGACCAAGAGAGCCAAGGCCATCGGCCGCGATGCCGTCCGGATGATTTCCTTGGGGCTCCGAGGATCGCTTTTGCAGGTCGAAGTCGGTTGGTGATACGGCTACCATTTGGCATCGTAGCAATCCCCAACAAGGCGCGATACAAGTTGTTGTGAGAAGAAGTCCAATCAATCATGACCCTTCTGGTCTTCCGGTTGCCTGCCTACAAGCCAGCCTCGTTGTTTGTTGTACCGCTGGTGCGTGTGTGACGTTCCAATGAACACCAAGGACGGCCTAGGTGCCTCAAGGTGCCCACCACAGTCGGCCAAGCCTAGCAACTGCTAATGTCTCAACGGGTCACGACCCCGTCCAAATCAATCAACTAAGTAATCAGGAATCTGTAGCTACGAGTGCCAAAGCGTTGTCTGTGGCTGACACACACATGCAGCGGTCAGCATATTTATAAGAATCGACCCTTCCACACTCACTTGCGAACTGTCTGACGGCTCGCCCCTCTAAGCCCTTCCACATATGTGGGGTGCTAGAAGGTAGAAACATATCCACATGACGAAAACAGCACAACTAATTCACGACTACCTTTATACAGTACAAAAGCTGTCCTGGTTGGTGTTTTCAACCCACCAAAAAAAGTATTAGTCAGAGGGTCCAATCATCCCCAATTAAGGGTTGAAAATAAAAATATCCGAAACCATCACCTAGTGTCTATAACCTATGTGACTGACACAATGAATTGTGAATTAGCAGAGCCCACTCAGTCTGTGATCAAGATGTTTTTGCGAACGAAGTCTTATTGCGGAGGCATTTTTTAGTCCGTTGATAGAGGCCACGTATTTTTTAAACGGGATTTTAATAGCTTCGAGCAATTCATCCTAATTAGCAAGGAAAGGTGTTTCAAGACGAACATGATGTGGATAACATTGGTTTGGCAAGGATGCGTAGTCTTGCACGACTTGAAGCAGTTGAGCAGGGTTGGGGAGAATAGGACGAGAAGCAATGCCTCCTACCAAGCTTTTATGGAATCCTAGTCGGATCAAAGATGAAGCTCCAGTTGTTTATATTTCGGGAAGAGTGACTGTTGTAGAGTATGATCCAAGTACCGAACCACTGCGCGAAGAACATTGGCCTGGTGCCATGAGCGAACCTAGAATCCACCCTCCCGAAAAGCCACGCGAACGCACTTATGGACCCCGGAATCCTCCACATTTGCCTGAGAAAGGAATCACGGTGCGACCCTGTCCCAAAAATCCACACCACAAAATGCATGGGCTCATGGGCAAACAATAAAGACCCCACCATTGGAACTTGTTCCTCCGTTCCTCCCCATATTTCACCGGGTCCTTCCGAGCCGCCGGCCAAACGCAGCCGGGTGAAGGGGACGCTTCGTCGGGCAGTGGTCGGTAGCTATGGGCTGATGGACATGAGCCCATCAGCTGCGGCATCAAGTGATGACCAAGCAATGAGATCCAGAATTTCTTTGGACCCTCCGTCAGCATAACCCTTCAGCTTTAGTCTTGTTAGCAAGTAATGGCACTCCAGTTGCACCACTGCCACATAATTATAGATCACCATCGAATGGGGATACCATGCGTAGTGGAAACTGGTGCCACACCGTGCTCCAACCTCCTACAGTACATGCAACCATGAGAAGCATGAGAATTCTGTTTGGAGATTGTAGGCCATTCCAATACCAACAGCTACCATGAAGGCCCTGAAGAATCTCCAGTTCGCAAGTTCTGTTCGCGTTCCGGGACCTCGATCACCTGCAAAGCCCTCCCAACATCCAGTTCAGTCATGTTCAGTCCCTCCCACCCTCGTGCATCCAAAACATGCCAGGCATGCGAAGTTCCTGGGCGAGGGAAACGGGCACAGTTTGCCAAGGGGGACAGTGGGACTCAATCAGCCGGCAATTAGTGCCTGAGTCAGAAAAAGTGCGTTCATCGGATTTCAACGTTTGTCCTTGATGACCCGGATGGCCTTGATGACTCACGAGCCGACACGAGCCCTGAGTCAGATGCAGCCCTGAGCCCTGAATCGGATGCTTCATAAAACTTCTCGATTGATAAGCCCCCCATTTGGATGCACGCACTCCTCTTCAAGCTTGGGGGTGTATTAATCAAGAGGTATCAAGAGTCTACGTTCCTCTACCCTGGCAATGCCTTGTCTTGTGACTAAGGCTCCGCCCGAGAGGCGGTTGATGGACAAATAGCCATTCCCAAAAAAGGAGCCATGTGGGGTCCCTCCCCTCAATGTAGTCAGGAATAATTAGAAATTACAGTAATCTGTCATATACTCTGAGGTAGATTCCAAACATTATTCCTGACCTCAATTGACATTTGGAATAAGTCTTAGCAATACTGATGATGAACTTTAAAATACACGTTGTCTGATCCACGCTAACTCTGAAGTCAGCTCAACTCTTTTCAATTCTACCATTACACAAAAAAAAAAGGACAGCTCATGTTCAACTCCAGATGCAAGCGAATGCGAGCAAATATATGTCTTCTGAAATTGTTTATGAACACAGAACTTCATCTCCATTCCTTTCCTTTCATTTCATATCCCATCATACCGGAGGGAACATATTTCTGAATCTTTCCACTTTAGATCATTCCAAAAAAATATTCCAGGTACCCCCCCCCCCCTCCCTCCCTCAAATAATTATTCCAGCAACTCACGGTACCCCCTGGAAAAATTCCAAATGGCATGGTATATCTCAAATCATCTCAGTCAAATAGAAGCAAATTCCAATAAAGGTTTCAAATGGTGTTGGCCTCCATAGAAACACTGACTCACAAATTTCATGGAAATGACAAATCTCTTATTCCTCCTGCACCACATCCAACAGCAAAACCATTCCGGACACCCATCTTGAGACCAGGATAGAAAGGCCATTGACACATGTCCCAGACCTGCCGGGTATCTGATCAAACACCCAAAAAGGGTTTTAGAACCGAGGAACAAATAACATCACCGACTCGCGTTCCATGGAGCCTGGAGTTGACCCCCCGTTTTGGTCTTTAGACTTTGTCTGGTCTTTCCAGGGGAAGAGGACGGTCTACGTAAGCATGAGGACGTAGGAAAATCTTGGGTCCACCATGATGGCGGTCCGAATGACCGGGAAAGAGATCTCGCCAAGGGTCAGAAAGAGATCTCTGGTGCTACCCCGGAGTCCCCGGAAGCGCTCTGATCTTAAGTCAGCTCTTCCGGCTTCAGGAGTATTGCCTGGTTCATGGACGCCTGGTTCACAGCGCACGCTCTGATGCCATGCCCGGAGTCACCCGAACCGCCGTCGCGTCGCGCGATGATCGTGCCCTCCGAGGCGCTGAAAGAGCTTCACCTGTCGCAGTCGGTTCTTCCGATGCTCCAAGGCCTCTGGCGCGCGGGCGCAGTCCGTCTCCGTCCGTCCAACCCGGAGAAGGAGAACGAAGGGTGTGTGGAAGGGCGGTGTGGCTGTTTGGGTTGTTGTTCTTCGTGTTTTGGAAGGGCTGCTTGGACTGGAGGGTCCCGAAATGAGAATGCAAAGATATGCAATGGAACAGGTATTGACCCACAACTTTCGGGGTTGCTGGGGTTCTTTATGGGGTGTTTGTGGAAGGAGTTTTGGCTATGATATGCTATGATGCTCTCACTGGGGTCTTTCTAGGCAACCATTTGTTGGGGAAGCCCAGCAACCCAATGCCGCTCGTTTGCCCCGGCATCGGCCGTTCGGCCGTGATGCTATACTTCCACTTCTTCATCCCTTCGGCAAACGGCCAGGATCCTCATGGGACTGGGACGATCCTTGTCTGTCTGGTGTTCCAACAAGTTGTTCGTTTCTTGTTCTATTGATTCCTATGCCATTATTTGTCTATCTTGTCTCAGTTGTGATGGAGTCTAGTCTTTGAATGTTCTTTCTCCAGGGAATTCTAGATCAATGATTCTCCCCCCCTACCCCTCCTCTGCTCTAGAATCGAAACATTCCATTCTGGCCTTTGCGCTGTTGAAGGCCCAATCGATGAATGTCTCGTAGGAAATATCCCCGCCGCTGGTGTTGGCCACCTTGAGAATCCTCCGCTGCCCGGGAAAGAAGAAGCACGTTTGACTCCACTTGTCAAACCTTGTTGCGGTTGTATTGACGAGGAATGCTTCAAAAGTGCCGATTTGCTTGAAATGCGGTGTAATTACCAAATAGCTCAACAAATAGCTATCGGGGATCAGTATATGCTGCTAACTGGGACAACATTATTTAACCTCAGGGAAATCAAAGCTCTATATAGATCTAAACAAATATAGATGTAAGAACATGATGGCAACTGTTCATCTACCATCAACTCAATGTTTCTGACACTCAGAGTGGGTCTCCACATGAATCTCTCAGAGTACCGGTTCGCCCAACAAAGTCTGGTGTCCCCAACGTGTTTCGACGGTCACTGGTCGCTGGCGTCTCCAACGGTTTCAGCTCGCAAACGGGAGCTGAAACCGCACAGTGAACTTTAAACATCATGCTGACGTTCTGAGTCAGTCAGGGTCAATGGATGTCAATGGATATCAATGGTCTCCCTCCTGCAGAAATTGCAACTTGCAAAGCATGCAACGCAACAGTGGAACTTGTTTTGCACCAACATGAGTCGATGACATCTCTCGGACAAAAGCAATACTGTCCAGGTCCAGGTCACATCAAATGTTTCACAATTGTCTTGTGGCATTGTCGAAAGGTTGTGTGGAGGGGGCTATAGCTCGTTCATGCTCGTTCAAGGGGCTCAGCCGAGCTGCGGTCCACATAGAATTCATTCACTGCCCAAACTTACAACCCTCAGCCTCTCTTGCCTGTCACTTTGGGCCATTCTTGCATTCTGGGAGTCCCTGCATTCCTTCTACAGACCTTAGTTCCATGACCTTGTGATGTCTTATGAACGATCAAAACGGTGTCCCGCCAGTCACCACCGCGACCCCTCGCCGTTCGCTCGGCTCCTGTCGATCTCCTCGGGCGCGAACTGTTCGAGGCTCTCGATGACCCGGCGGAGGTCATCCTTTCCCTGAGGCCGGTGGCGTAAGACATCAACTGAGACCGGTTACAGTCGATCTAGACCGGTCGTGGTCGTGATAAAGGCCAAGTCGTGGTCGTTTGCGGATAGGGTTGAGGTCACCATGTTTGAGATTGAGGATTGTCAGCATCAAGAGCCATCAACTGCCATCCACATCATGGTCACCGTCACCTTTCAACCTACCTGAGAATGACTGCAAATTCTTCAACTTGGACGTGGGCCAGCAGGGACAAGGAGAATCAACCAACAACAAACACGGCATAGAATAGAATCGAATTGATATGAATTGATATATGGAAGCAATTGGCAATTCCCCACATGCCGCGACTCCCAACATGCTTTGGAGGACCGTTCATCTGTTCGCATGAGATAGTTTCAGCTCAAATGACCTAAATCTGTGACATCCCCCGGAATTTGAGCATTTGGAGCCAAGGCCTTTAAGGAGGTATCATTTCAGCTTCCAACTTCCGTACATCGTCACCGACTCCAACCGCCTAAAAGACCACGGGAGTCCCACGTGGTGCTCCGAGCTGCGATGGTGCCAGTGGCCTGATCATCGAAGAGCTGAAACTGCTCCTGACACGCCGTGCAAACCAAAGGAGCCGGCCTAAGGGTGGACAAGGGTGGAAGAGCCACCAGTAGCTGAAACGAAAAACTCTCTCATCCTTAGTGGGACAAAACTTCAAGCTATACCGGGTATAGCCTATACCCCCTACCTTAGACCAAGAGGCGGTCATCTACCCCCTACCCTGGATTAGTTATTTTGTTGAATCCAGGGTACCTCAACTATTTAATCCCGAGCTGCTCCAGGTCTGGATTTGGAAATTCGAGCTTAATTAATGAGAGGGGTTTGAGCTTTCATGTTTGTTGCGTTGCACCTAGCTACAGGACCTCATGCAGCCTAAGGAAAAATGCTTAATGAATCCAAGACAATCAGATTATGATAAATTATGATTATACCAGGATCACTGACTATAGTGCATTTGTCACTGCATGATTATTTTATACACATTCTATCTATATATACTAGGTATGTATATATATATATATCATCTTCAATAAGACCCCGGTCACCTGCACACTTCTCATCACCACCACCGATGAAGAAGCCGAACCAAATTGTCCGTCCCCATCGCTTGGGTCGTTCTTCGTCGCACCTTCACAGCGCTGGCGGTCTGAACCAAATCGACTTCCTCGATCCTCGGGCGTCCGGGCCGCGACCGGTGAGGTCGCGGTCGACGCGGTCTGTGGTGCTGGGGGGAGGTCGGCAGCACGTTGGTCCGTTTTTTCGTGGGAGAACAGGTCAGGTGGCTGTTCCGCAGCTTTTTTGTACGCTCCTTGAGAAGCTGGCTCGTTGGGTCACCACGTGGGGTTTTGATGGGGACGATTGGCTTGGGGTAGTTGCCTTATAAGCACACTCCCAGTATCTCCCAGCTAGCAAGCAAAGGGCACAAACAACAACTGAGTTCCTATGGCACTACAAGCTGGGTCCCTCTTCGATGATGTGTCTTCAAGAAGAGAAACCCAACCTTTACAACCATCGGACCATTGCACACCATCGCAACTCTGCCGTTGAAGAGTTGAAACATGTCGAAACAAGGAATCCATGCACTCCAGGAAATGGAGACCGGTCAAAAGGATGCTGCTTGTGAGAGCAGGACATGAATACATAGGACGGACCTGCAAGGTGGTTGCTTTTAGGATTTTAGGGGGTCCTGGAAAATCCAAGTACATCAAGATGCCCATCTTGCCTCTATGGGTCTTACAGTTTCTGAGAAAACTGCTAAGACATGCTAAGACCACTCTCGGAACTGGATCCGGCCGGGCGCCCGGGCCAGTTCGGCGACTGGGGCGGGGAGGCCATGTAGGCCATGCTGCGCTCCCATGTGCGCCGCTGGGGCCGATGATTTTGGGGTAGTATGGAAGAGGCTCCGCCCTGAGCATCAACAGGCTTTACATCCCGATATTGAAACTGAGCAGGTCGTTGCAGTACAGCAGCAGTTGGCCAGGGGGTTCAAACCCCTACCACCCAAAAGGGTAGCTTCGGCTCAAGGCGTGCCGAAAGTTGCCAGGGTTCCCACCAGCTCATGAGCTGAATCAGATGGTATAGCCTCATTCAAAAATCTGAAGATCCCTGGAACTCGATTCGATCCCTGGAACTGCAAACGACTGCGTGGCAGTTCCAGCTGGTCCGACTGATACGTGCAGGGTTCCTTCGTTCGAGCCCAGGCACCGTCAAGCGTACGGCGAGACGGTCGGAGCTGGTCACCCGAACAGGGTCACCGGTCACCGAACGTGGAAAGCCACGACCAGGTGACCGTAGGTGACGGTCATTGGCGTGCGAAACAGAAACAAACCACTATCACACGATCCCCGTGCGAATTTCAGGTGAGGGTCGACCTCCCCCATTTTATAGAGGAAATTGGCAGGAGGATATCACATGAACTCCTGCGCCTGGACCATTCCTACAGGCGTTAAGGGCTTCGCAGCGAAACCGATGTGGTTTCGACATGTCACTTCAGGAAGTCAAAGGATTTCCACAGAAGACCATAGGTGGTCCCACATCTGAAACCCAAACGCAACACAGCGCGCGGGATCCCACACTCAAGAGAAAAAGAAACAAAAGGCATGCCCCTCTCCCGCTCCCAAAGCAGTTAAGCCACTTTTGGGTGGTCCTCATCTGACAAAAGCCGCCATCCAGCTGAATCCATGCCCCATCTATCCATCCATCCATCCATCCATCCATCCTCAAATCACCCATGTCCACTCACCGCTCCGCCCATGTCCACGGCACCGGCTGAAGCAACTCCCGTAGTTGGCGGCCCTCCAGGAGTAAGGCTGGAGCGCGTTCCACCGGCCTTTGCGCGCGGAACTTCTGCAAGAGCTCCTGCGGAATCCCCGGGGCACCATGCGGCACAGCAAATCTGGAGAGAAATGGGAGGACGTCTCCTGTAGCAAGGACCTGGATCTATAAATAGTTGCCCCCTGTGGTGGGAGAGTCACTTGGAGAATGGACGAGACATGGCAAAATATTACATCATCTGACTTCAAATTCACCAGGTCTTGGGTTGTGACGCAGGACTCACTTTATCATTTCAGGACTCCCCACGGTCACTATTCTCTTTCCAACATGGAATTCGCCCGAGAAGGGGGAAACGAAAGCCAGTGGAAGTTCACACACATTGAATTGGAAACTTCGGAGTCGGACTTCGGGCTCAAATTGTGCAAGCCATTTTGCATCAGCCTCTTTTCTAACACGAGGCGCCCCAACTGATTTATAATGCAAGTGATGCCGACACAAGTTCATATTGCATCTTTTGCATCGCGAGCTCACCAAAAATTATCAAAAACAAAACCATTAACACCAGCAGAGGCTCTGTTAAAAAGTGACCCCAATGCCTCCCCCCCCACACACTCCCTAATTTCTCCTTTTGTTCACTCAAGAAACCTCTACAACGACAAGGCCTTTCCCAACGACAAGGTGAATGAACGTCCCCGCTGTAGATACCTTAGGATCCAGCTACCCTCATGAACCTTACTTCCTACTTCCCTTGCACCAGTCCCATTGCTGGTGCTCGGTCCGCGGCCTGAAAGTGCTCCATGCGCTCCACCTGAAACTTTGCAAACGTCGCTGGAATGAGCCGAGCCGACTTCTACCATTGGCTATATAACTCACAGGCCAAGAAAACGTTTCAAACTACCCAAATACTATGATCTCTTTTCTTATGTTCCATGTTAATTTCCTGGAGGTTACGCCTCCTGATGGAAGACTCCTACAACAAATTTGAACAAGACACCACTCGGCATAAATGGTGGGATCATGTCTTGTCCATCTCCTGTTCGGGATAAGTCTAGTCTAGTCATTGCACAATCAGAAGACGGCATCATGACTGAGAAACTTGGGAATCTCATCTCTGATACAAGGTGTTCCTGTCTGCTAGGCCCTGCTCTGCTAGGCTTGACCGTGTGGTCCGCCAGTCAAAAAAGGCACGAGCTGTTCATGTTTTCTCTACCCCAAAGCGGGGCTTTTCTCTCTTCCAGGACACTGCTAAGCACATTGCCCGCCCCCACCAGCGCCTCCTTGCAAAGGGCATCAATGCTCAGCTCGGCCAAGGTGGCCTCCATTCAGCTCGGGGATGGGCCACTTCAAGCAGTCGGGCGGCGGCAGGAATGTCGCAGTGCCATGTTTAAACTGCTTAAACATGTGAGAGGTCAGGTTCAAACGGTTTAAACAAAAACCCTGAGGTTTAAACATGTGTTTAAACAATATGCGTCTAAACGTGAGGTCGTGTCCCAGCTTGACCAAGGAGTGCCGTTTAAACGTTTAAACCAATCTGGAGACCAGCTTGCAAACATGTTCAAACAGTTTAAACATAAACGGTTTAATGTTTAAACGTGTTTGTGACTTATAGTAGTACTGGTGCAGCCTCAGAATTGCTCAGATCAAGCCTGCCGCCAGCCCCAGCCCTGCACAGCCCCTGTAAAGAAAGATGTCCATGCACACACGGGCCGGGACTTTAGGAGGGTGAGTTTAGGGCGACGGACCATCTGGATCTATCTGGCAGAACTAGGTACAAAACATGGGGGTGCATACTATATAAAATATATATGTCCTGAAGACATGTATTCATCGATCGACTAAGTCGAAGCACAAACCCCACCTGGCCAGGCACGACGAAACCGAAGGCCCGCAATCACGAGCTCCGGAGATCCGGGTGCCGGGGGGAGCAAGATCCCCAAAACGGTCCTCATCCTTGCGACTTCTCGACCTTCCCACCATTCCATTATGGGTTTTTCCTATGTCTTCAAGAGCCCAACTGGCGGGCTGGACACAACTAGTCTAGAAAGAGTATGAAAGCCTGACCTTGTGCCAAGTCTTCTGGTACTCGAAGATCTTTCGGAAGGGCTCGTACCTCGCAGCAGAGCCAGGGAGGCAATGAGAGTGGGTTACCCCAATGCGACAAGACATCACCAGGGTCCCTCCGCTGAAGTGTGTGCAAAAGCCTTTTGAGAAAATTACTGTTCAACCTTTTCCCATCCCACAAAACAGTATAACGAAGGGGGAGGTGATCATGAACATTTATGAAACATTGCACAGTGATAATGATGTATTTACACTCTTCACCTTCAAAGAATAAGGGCGATTGGCCTCCTGTCCATTGACACATAGCCTGTGTTCTGACCTAGATTATTGCTCGCGTCTTCAAGACAACCAAGGTGATCCGCACGCAACAACACGTGGCGCCCTTTTGGCACGCAAAACAAAGGATCCATTGCATCCACTAGCTGCCGAATGCACGGGGAACTCGTCTCATGTGGCTGTAGGTCAATCACAACCCTTGATGAACAACAAGCACTTCATTCGCCTCGGCTCTGTACGAGTGAACGATGAATACCTCAAAAGACTGTCGACACAATCCCATATGGCTGGCTTGACACAAGAAGCTTCTCCCACGTTGACCCACACCCGCGTTACCTTTGGAAATCCATGAGCGCCATCTCCAAGCCATGAGAGGGTCCTTCGACCCCTTCTAGGCGAAAGCAGTTGGCCCCGCCATCGCGAATCCGGACAACCCGCAGCGGCCCCCAGTGAGTCAAGTTGCCGAACATGTAGCAAATTGTGAGACCGAGTTGAGTGTTACAAGTTGCAAGTGGTCACACACTTCTGACCACGTGTCTCTCTCACAGTCTGAACATGCTTGGGTTGAAGATCATGGATAGTCATAGTCTTAGTCAATCAATCAATTTAAATAAACATAAATTGAACTTTACAAATCTTTACGTAGCTTAGCGAGATCTTTTTAAATCACCAACGCATGCCCATGGTCGGAAGCTTCTTGGATCTTTTTGGAATTCTGCTACTATTCATTTACGCCACACGGTTTGCAATTCTCGTCTAAAAGTCATCATCATCACATCCTAAGCAATTAGAATGTTGGGCGTTCAAGAAATACAACTCTAGCCGCAAGCGCCCCCCCAAAAAGCAACAAAAACAACTAACTGGCAACTCTGGGGCACCAAGTTGGGGAGTACTATAGATCGACCTATACTATGACATGATCTACTGGGGGTGACGGAACGGAGTCACACTTGGAATGCACAACAAAACATTTGATGCTTTCTCAGGATCCAATTAGGTAGGCATCCGGCGCCACAGGTGTGGACGGCTAAAAGTTGGGAGAATTGGCCAACAGTGGAGTAGTGCCTCCTTGGTTTGCGCCCCGCCTATTCCACAAATGTGGAGTGTTCATTCAGTAAAGTCAGTAAACTCCCATATATTCCCATAAGGAGATGTTAGACCATCCAGAAAGGATTACCCGTCCAAAAGGACACAGTTCTTGACGCCCACACGATGGGCAGGCCTTCATACATTCCCCCAAGGCTGAAGAGATGCCACAAACGATTGGAATTCTTTAGCAGCATCACGGTTCCAGCGCCTGAATCAACTCTTTCAGCTTATAAGCTGGTCACATGTTTATGAGCGGCACCAATATTCTCACCCGCTAGGGGCCACCGGATATGTTTCAACCTTGCCATCAACGACTGAACGCGCCACAACGGTCGGCGGTCGAGCGCGCCACACACGCTTCGCCACACGGACGTGACGCCCAGGAGGAGCGAATCGCATGAATCAGTACTTGAGCACCGTGAGCATCAGCTCGTTCGTGGCCTTGATCTGCTCCTGAGAGGTCCGCCGTTAGGAGTCCAAGGTTCGGGTCGCCATGTGAGGTTTGTGCCAAAGAGAATTCGGATGGTACATGGTTCAACACGAAAACAGTGGGTGTCCGGGCAAGAAATGCGACATCAGCGGGTTTCGGATGGGTCCTGTGACTTGATATCCCTGAAAATCCATGAAAATCCTGTAGAAACCACGCGCGCCCTCAAATCAGGTCAGGTGTTCAAGTCTGAAACAACTGGTTGCTCAGTGTGCTTCGTAAACATCACCAAAAACCGAAATGACGTTTCATCCCACAATTCAACCCACCTGGATGACGCTCCAGGGGAAGGCTCCAAATGCTTCCTCACCCCAACATGTATATATGGACGTTCTGATTGTCTAATGACGGGGGGTCTGAAGGTTCTTTGAGAGCCAAGTTGATGGCAAATCCATCCACCCATGGTCGCCGGACTCGAACCGCCGGACTCGCAAAGAGATGCAAAAAATTCAGAACATTCCAGGAAGTTCTCTCTTGAACCAAATGGAGGGTGCGTGGAGAAAGGGATCTTCTTCCGTTTGCCTCTGATCTCTCTCTCTCTCTCTCTCTCTCTGCCTCGCTTCGCATCGACTTCCGGGCCGCGTGGACGGCGCCAAGGCGCCAGCATTTCAGGGCCCACCATCTCCCGACCATTCACCGCCAGGATCCGATCCCCCGCGCAAAGCGCCTCCTGACGGACGCGCGCATGCGCGAGAAAAGCGTGCTTAGGCAGAAGCGGAGTGGTCCATTGGTGGGTGGGTGAGGGGTTTGGAAAGACAGGTGGTGCAGGAATAGGGAGGAATCTACCGGTGGAAGGTGGTCGAGATGGATGTGAGGCAATTGCCCCTCTGGAGGCGACAGTTTCCCGAACATGAAGGATACATTTGAGCAGTTTTAATCAAGGTTAGTAGTCTGACTGCAGCTTCTCCGCGGCGCGGGAAGACCCTTCTTGTTGCCTGACTCCCCCAAAGAAAACTGGAGGAGCAACGCCACCACCTTCCATTGCTCATGGACACCCTGTAGGAGTATTATCGGATATGATCTGATCGGTTCACCATTTACATGCCCAACCCCAATTGCACGAGATTCTTGAGTTCAGGATTTGTTGATAGTAACCGGTAACCTAATTAATTAGGACCTAGCCTCTTTGGCGGGACGTGTTCTGTCAAATAACAATATTGTAATAAGAATAACATAACAATCATTCTAATTAAATTGATTTGGCGAAGGATGCTTTGACGAAGGATGCGAGGGTTTTCGATGGTTTTCGAGTTCTTCACGCTTGCCCAAAGAAAAGCGCGTCGCCGTGGTCTCATGCCACCGAAACCAAGTGTCGTTGGGATGCTCGCTGTTCCACTTGGCCGCAGGCCCCGAGCTGGAAACCACATTGATCACGGCGCCTAGGGATGTGCTCTTGTACTCCAACTTCAAGCCCAAGCCCTCCTTAGCAACATCACCAAACTGTCAAACTGCAGCGAAATTGGTGGATTCTATGAGTATAATTCATCTCAGTTCTTGGAGGACCCTTTTGACGAAGAACCGGAAAGGGTCTGACTAATGTTGAACATATTTTTGACCTTGTTGCTTGTTGATGTTCGAAGCGTCTGGCTGCCCATCTTCCAATCCACCACCCAAGATGGCCCTCTTCTAGAAAACAGGAACTGCTCGGCCTTAAACAAACACATGAAGCAAGGCTCTGTCTTTGAAATTGGCACCTGTTGTTTCTTGGGCCGCACCAACTTCAGGTTCACCGTGTGTGAGAGCGTGCCCTCCATCTTCTGAAAGATCTCGCTGGAGTTGGCTGCTTCATCAAGAGCGACGATTACGTCATACGGCCTGACACGAGTTGGAAATTCCATTAATGAGATCATGAGACACCAATCAATCAATGAATTGTGCTTGTCTTGATTGATCCTCTAGGATTCCTATGCCTTGGAGGTTTCTGGCCATCGCCAATGGTGCCCAGTATTCTGGCCATTGATGTAGCTTGCATCAGCACACCTCTTCCACTGTGAGGCTGCGCTGCAGTGGTTTCAGAGTAGATGGCACAAACCTAAAGATGTCTAATTTAGTGGGGGTCCATGTAAAGCACCGAACTTGGGATTGTGCCATCTACACTGAAACCACTCCACACCCATTTGTAGAGGACACTTGTCTTACCAAAATCCATCTTAATGAGTCGGGAGATCTTTCCGGTAGGAGAATGAGGACGCCCGGCCTGTTTTTTGTGTGGACTTTACGTGAGTTTTCCTGTACCTCTAGTGGCCCTAGTGGAAACGCCAACATTTAGTCTCTATAGCAATAAAAAGGCTGATATTCTGAACTTGAGGGTCTGTGAAGGCCCTTTTTCACCAACGACACGATCTTTGCAATCACTTTCCCCGGAGGAGACCCCTCTCGCTCTCCATCTCAAAAACGATGCCGCCCAGCAGCTGAATGCTTCGGCTGGGATTCAGCTTGTTGAACTTCTCCACCGCGCCCACTTCCACCGTCTTCACCATCGGCCTCACATCACCTCGACGACGGAATTCCGTCGCATCCACGAGCGCGGGGTCGCCGTGTCCGACCCGTGTCCGACCCGTTTTGGGGGGGGGGGGACCGGGGGCGAAAGCACCAGACCAGCAGTTCCGGGAGTTGGTTTGGTTCTGGACACTGGGGAGCTGGTAGGAACCGGCGTATCTTCGGACTCGAGCTGTCCCCACCAGGTGCTCTTTTCTATCAAGTCCTGCTGGATTGAGATTACAAAAAGCATTTGGGGCAAGGCGATTACAAAAAGGCTCTTCATGGAAGAGCCAAGATCTCTGACATGGAGGATTGACTTCAATTTGCTTTAAGTTCACACTCGGTTGAAGAAACTTGGAACATTTTGCAAACAGCCCCGCGCTCAGCCGCTCAGCAATCCAAAGTCACTGGTAAAATCCAGAAGAAGACCCAGGCTACTGAAGCCCTTCATGGGGATCTGCACGCTGAAAGGCCCAAATTCTGGCGCTGGCTCCTCCTTGAAAGCAGCAAACCCAATCGGCTGGAACCTGGAAGTTAATTTTTTCCAAACATATACATATATATTACATATGACAATATATACACAATATATTACAATATTAATATATGAGGAAACTATATAACTCCTCAAGAACCAGCAAGTATCCACCAGAGTGAATGCATGCAACTGGTGTCCAATCAAACGATCTCCGTTATCTCCGTTTCGTGGCACTCCTTGACCTTCGCCTCTTTCACCGAGACCTCCGCTTTCACAGCTGGCTTAAGAGCCTCTGGCTGCACCACCGGCGTGGCCTCGGGCAAGGCGGTCACGGCTTGAACTTCCTCGGCCACTGTTCCACTGGCGTCGGCACAGCACCACATGGCAGCAGGACGAGGTGGATCGCGTGGGTTCAGCGGGAGAGTTCAGCTACGGCGGCAGGTGGATCGCATGCATGCAAATCCCAAGGCGCCTCGGGAGGAAAGTCACAGCACTTGCCATAAGGACCGGACCCTGTGGAAGACCTAAGCCTCTGACGTCTCCACCGCCAAGCGAGTCGCCTGAAAAGAACGACTTTGGCTCGGTAGAGTTTCTGTCCAACAAGGGGTGAACCCTTGTTGGCTTTTAATGGCCATCGAGGCCTGAAGGGGGCACCACACCGAGGATTGGGTATCCCAACCCTGGTCAAAATATCCAGGTCATCTACTCAAATTTGACAATTGAGCGTATCTTTTTAACGATGGACATGGTTTCGAGCATTGTTTCTTCTTTTCCCACCTCTTTCTTTCCCCCGGAAATGAGTGAACGCTGCCACCTTTCCATCCTGTTTCATCTTTTTCCGATATCTTCCAGTAGGATCCAATTGCTTCTTTGCAAGACGGGCCATGAGTTGAGTCTTTCAAATCAACCATAAGATACTATTCCCTTTCCAAAACGAAGGCTTTCAAAGCCTTCGACCAGGTCCAGCGGCCTCGGCCTGCTGGGAGCTCAACTGCTTCAACGTGGAGTCCACGTAGATGGACCAGGCCCTCGGCCGAGCAGTTCTCTCCAGCTACGCCACGATCAGACCGGCCACGGTGTGTTGGAGTGGCTTAGAAGTAGCGAAGAATCTAAGACAAGCTGCTGTCAGGGCCCAGGAGATTGGTCCAATGTCCAATACGGCAACATGAAATGCCCACTAGTTCGAAGCGTGGTGAAAGGCATCAAGCCATCCCATGTCTGGAATAATGTACTGTAGTTATAATAGTTACCTGGAGTCTCCATTGACACTTTTATTTTGATGCTATTGGTAAAAAAACGTATTATTTATAAATAGGACTAATTTTGATAGTAGAAATTTGAATAGCCCTTTTTTGACTTTTGGGGAGAACTCAAAATAAAAGGTCAATGAAGACTCCATAAAGGGTTCACAAAGCCTTTGGGTTTGCACATGTGTTGTTCGCATGTGCATTTGGCTTTGGATCAAGCTGGACTTCAGCCCGGGGCCCCAAGGCGGCAGGCCCAGGCCCACTGAACGGCAAGTTGATATCTATGCAATCTGTGTTTTTGAAGCACTTGCTTTGGTGAGATTGTTTGCAGTGCAAGCTTCTTTCAAAGGAATGAATCCTGAAGCCAGTGTAAGCTCAAAAAACATCCGCGCTTGCATACATATATAGAGACCACTGGCCCAATGGATGATTATGTGAATTCACATTCTGATGCCAAAGCAAAGTTGGTTTCTCGAGGACAGGACTTGTCTTATGTTTCCTAATATATGTACTCCATCTGCATGATATATATTGAAGGGAGTATTGAAGGACTGTGCACATATTCAGCGTATTAATTTAATGTTGCAGGACTGGCTGATTTGCCAAACAAGTTTTGGCAAGATACAATTCCCGTTTTGGATTCTAAAGTTTCTTGGCACTGTTCAGGAAACTGAGTTGAATGAAAGTTGCTTCAAGTATCGGTAGGCTTGGATTGTTCAGGCTGGAAGTGACATTACCCAGACCACCTTCGACATGCTAATGGAGAACTTTGACGCCCGGGGTGTTTTGGTTCACTTGGTGAGACGATTCCGAGCACAAGGACTAAGCTGGAGTACTTTTGGGGGTTACCTTGGTGATTTTGTTCATCGGTTCACAACTCTTTTTGGTAGTGTATTGCATCCAGGAGGAAAGGACGATTCAAGCGTGACTTGATTCCATACAGTCAATTGGTGGTTTTATTTTGCTGCTGTTCTCATTGTTTGGGCTGACAATGCAGTTTCTTGGTGACAGTTTCTGTAGGCAAGCTCAGCGACCTCCACATGAGATGCAACCTGAGCGATGCAAACCTTTGAAGACACCGGGTCTGATGAATGGGGAAAAATGGGTCGATCGATCCTTCATAATGAGAACATGTCGATTGTTCACAATGTCACACTCAGCAGCTATAGCCCACAGGCTATAGCATGCCAAGCAATGGGTTTCCTTCAGCTTCGTCGGAGGTTCACGGCGGCAGGCAGAGTTTCATCTTTGCTCATGGTCGTCCGGAATCCAAGGATCTGCAGGATGGATATGAGCTTTTAATAAGTCAGTCGATATATTGGCTCAGCTCAATTAAGATAGCAAAGAGGCATGCTTGCTTGGGTCAGCAATGTCAACTCGTTTGTGTGCATGGTTTGGCGCTGGGATTGGATCAAGTGGTGACAGTTTCACTAGGGGACAATTTCGTGTGTAAAGCTGCTGGCATGGCGTGCTCTAGCAACAAGACCAAGCATTGGTTGCATGGTCTGGCGGTAGCTTGGGAAGAGAAGTACGTTGTTCGATCCCGGGTGCGAGACACCCATGTCCTAGTCCAGTGGGTGTCAGCGGCAGCTACGGGAGTTCCAAGTATGAGTCTGGTCAGCATCCATCAACCAATGAAATGATGAACCAATGAAATGTAATTTAAGCTTTGCCCAAAGGCAACCTGTTTTGCAATTCTTTCGTCTCAGGAAGGCAATCAGCCTGAATTTCGACTTGTTGGGGCCCTTGGCAGAATTTTGGGTGAAGATCTTTGATTATGAAAGTTGTGGCTCACCACGAACTCCCCCTTTGGAGCCTTTGAAAGAAGAGGCCTACGACTAGTTTGGTAGATTCTTGCACTGCACCAAAGGTACTTAGGCAAGAAGTTTTCCCTGGCCAGGTGCGCCAATTCTGGAAGTCTATGGCCCTTCATTTGCCCGAAGATCAGCGGCCGACCAAACTTCAAATGAGGGCCGATGCTTGGGGGTTGAGGAAACTCATTAGCTATGCTCTTCGGACCATGCGTGCAGAGCGGATTCCGAGAGTTACTAGACTTGGTACTGATCCAGAAATGTTTTCATGCATGGTCCATGCATGTGTCCATGGTCACCCCGCAGTTGACTCAGGATTCAGATGCAAGGGAGTTACGGTGGATTTTGTTGCGAGCATGGTTTCCCGACACTGCTCGAGAGGAAGAGGCAATTCTTGTGTTGAAATGACATGAGTTCACTCAGCACAATTTATGTTAACCAAATTTGGTGGATCAAAAAACAATAAAGTAAAATTAATGCCTTGGTCAAGGATTGAGTACCTGGTCTTCATTTGTGATTCTTGTGAACTTGTTTCCGTCGATATTGGAGCAGGAAGCATGGGCACTGGAGCAACAGCGTCGAGAGAATGTCGAGGAGATTGGCATTGAAGATGATGATGATTGTGATGATGATGCTCTTGTGGATGAAGATGATTATGATGATGATGAGGGGTCTCTGGCAGCTGGCAGTAGTTTTGATTCGCTGCCCAATGATGTTGTTCCAAAACTGAGTCCAAAAGAAGACCCATCAACCTTTGATACCCTTCCACTGGGTGACCTCTCCAGCCCTGGAACCAAGAGAGATGAGAGAATTGACATGGAAGCTGTCAATTCCCGAATCCAATACTTGCGGCATCTAGGCTGACAAGTTGAAGGTTACAGTGTCTTTTCTGGTGAATAGTAGTTGGGCTCCAACATGTTTAATTAAACCATTTGTTGCCAAGGCAAATGCTTGAACGTGGTGGCGCTCATTCGAACTCTAGCTCACCTCACAGGGAGAGCAAGGAGTGTGTGCAATGTGTGGAGAAATTTGTCTCCCATGCCATGTCTTTGTTTCCACAGGAACTGGACGAAGTGAAGTTGATCCAGATCCAAGATAGTCCTGAGAGACCTTGCCATGAGGACACGATTGAACCTATATAGATTATTTTTCTATATATGGTTGTTGTGCTTTTGAATTGGGCCTAGGACGCACTTGGCCAGAATGAGATCCCTGCCCAGACCTTGACAGCCCCAGGTTCAGGATCTTCAGCAAAACCTAGCGATGAATTGAACCAAACACCTCCAGCAAGCGAGCAAACCCGTGAGCCCAACCCCAAAGACCATGAGCCCCAGGATGAGCAGCCAAGTAAGAAGCAAGCTTCAGCTCCACCCACCCCCGAGCCAGCTGAGAGCCCTGTTTTTACGCGTTCACAGCAAGATGCCTTGGCAGAAAGCAAAAATCAAAACAAAGGCAATCGAAATGGTCGCCGTGGCCGCCCAAAGAAGTCAGGCAAATCAAATGAGGATCCTGAGCCAGCCCCAGAAAAGGCCAGCCGCAAGAGGAAAGGCAACACAGCAAAGGATGAGGAGGAGAAGCCAAAGAGAAAGCGAGCGCCAAGGGCATCAAGCAAAGAAACAAAGCAAGATGAACCAGCCAAACCAGCACCCACAAAAGCAGCACGCAGGAAGGCTTCCAAGAATGAAGGTGAGGAACCAGCCCCTAAGCGAGCATCGCGCAAGAGGCCTGCCAAGGAGGATGAGGAAACCACACCTCCCAGGAGCAAAAAGCAAAAGGAGGGAGACAGGTTCCCAGTTCAGAAGTTCCAACACTCCACAGTTGTGCCATATTGGACCAGACCAGCAGCCGGATTGAAAGTAGCCAGCAAAACATCCAAGAGTGGACAGAGTCAGGCAGGGCAGTTATAGGGATTGTTGAATATTATGCCTATATATATAATAAAAGCTTTGGGGGACACTTGGTATCAGGTCTTCTATGTTGCTGTACCGGGAGCCAACATGAAAGAGCACCTAGAGGTTGCCTATTCAATCGTGCTTTTGTTGCAATTCTGTAGGGGTAGAAGGTGTCGAAAATTCAAACTGTTGTTTTTGCATGTGTTCATGTGTCTGTGAAAATTTGAAGCTCAGGCACGGATGCTGGATAGTGCCTCTGGTGATTACCTCCAGGAGAACATTCGCAATGCGTTTTCCCGGCAAAAGGCTGAGTTGCAAGCCAAAGCCCGCAGGCGATTGGCTGAGCAGCCATCAAATGCCAGCGGAGCAGTGTAAAGTTTCTGCACTGCTGGATGTCGCTGCTGCATCAATTTGAGACTTTTGGATTCCCAAAATGTGATATGTCTCCTTTGCGACTGCTTGGCCGCCATTGGTCTACTGTGAGTCAGTTAGGGCCCACCATGTTTTTCAATGTGTTGAAGTCTTCATGTGAATTCAGGCAGGTGAAGGCGGT